AAATAGAAACAAAACATGTCACGTTTCTTGCTGTTTGCCTCGCCACTAGAATCTCTGCAAGAACAAGCACTGCACTGCTACTGGCCCCGCAAGCACTCATCGATTCCCAGCGCTCATCGCCTCCGGATAGCGATCAAGATGGCTTCGTGGCTCCGGGCTACCAATCGCACCGTTCCAAGGAACGACGTGCGTGAAAACGAACAGGGTACTTTACCCAGAGAGCATGGCGGCATGCAATCACTTCTCTCATACCACGGATGCGGATTTGTCTCTTGCTTCGACGAGCTTCGAATTTCGAGAGTTTGACACCTCCCTCGGCTGTCCTGCACGCAGTACTTCGGCAGAATGAAGTCCAGCGGCCGGCCCTGGTATCCGTCTCTGGCTTTGAGTGACAACTGCTCAGCTCAGAGCTTTGCTTGGGCTGTTCGGCCAAGTTGGCAAGTTGTTTGTAACCAAGGTCATATAACCCATATGGCTGTGGCTCAAATATATGTACAAAAATGGTACCTTGGTAAATGGAGCCAACGACTAAAACCCGCGTAACCCTAGCTCGTTAATTTTGAGCCACCCATATTCTATGTCCCCCAAAGCGCAGTTAGTGGGTTCTATCCCAGACCGGCCCACCGCTTACATCTCTCATTGGACCCGCAATTAAGTTGCCTTCAAGTTCAAGACATCAAAATCGCGGCCTGCCCGAGGATTCGACTTGGCCCTTTCCCTGTTAGTCTTTGTGAGACCAGGAGTGCAAAGCCCGGGCCCATGCGGTCAAACCTGAAGAGTATGAGACCTGAAAGGGAAGCACACTATCAACTCTTCAAGGGCCAAAAGCACGGGCGCATGTCAGTGCCACACTTCAAGCGTCTTTGTGTGAGCGCGGGAGCATGGGGGCGGGTGCTCAGGTTAAGTGTGCGCGTTTGTACGCGAGCGGCGTGGGCGCCTTTTTGGTTCAGACTAAAAGCTCCGATGTCAATTTTTTGGGGCCGATGGATGCCACACGAATCGAGTTGGCCACCGACCAAAGCGATGCCTCACTTCCACGATCGAGGTTTCCGGCGAGGCTTCTGACGGGCTTCAATTTGCTCGGCAATTTTGAGAGGCCCATTCTCACAAATACCCAAGGGCGACCATTCTGGTGCGCTCCGCAACTTGCAACTCGGGAAGGACCCTAGAGACTGGACAAATGGCAAGTCGCTGTTCATGCGCAGCTTGTGTTTTGGGACATGCTCCGCCCAACCTTCCCCCCCCCCCGCCCCCCCCCCTTCCCCCCCCTCCCTCCCTCCCTCCCCCACCCTCCTCCCACTCCCCCTCCGACCGCCTGGTAACACAGGCGCTTGCCCCCCACGCCGAAGCCCCGCTCCCCGGTGCACAGCAACCGGAAATTCTCGCAGAGCTGGGGCGCGTGAGCCGCCTGGGCGAGCGTCTTTAGGGTGGCGTACCACTTGCTAAACGTGCTCGAACCAGTCAGGTTTGCCTTCAAAGGTTTGGATTGGTGCTTTGGAAAATGGCCTTTGAACCCCTGGTTATTGTGGAGCCATTGTTTCAACAACCTTCGGGCTTCCCTTTGAAGGCGGCCAGGGGTTGGTTGCAACCTGTTTTGGGGGACAAGTACATACCTCCATTCCGGGGGGCGCAAACATGTTTCCAGGGTCCAACAAGGCCCAATTTGGGGGCAACCGTCGCTTTGGGGACTGGGTGCTGGATTTGAGATGGAACGAACGCCAACGCGTCAAGACCCCTGGATACCCTTCGTCCACTGCTTGACCAACATTAGTTGTCTGCTATCAGGCTGGGAAGCTCCCCTACCCAAACATCCCAACAGGCCAACAGGCCAACAGGCTATATGGCGCTTTGCAAGGCGCCTCTACCCGGCTACCCTCACTTGAGTCGCCGCGTTGATTCTTTTTCTGGGAAGAGACTTGCGAGGCTACTTGAACAACGGCACACAGGTCAACGTGTTTTGTTGGGGGGGGGGGGCCTTTTTGTGACAAGCCCAATGAATGTGGAGCGTGCTTCTCGAATGGCCATGATCAATGGCCCAAACAAACTCTTGATAAGGCATCCCGGATCATCCCCCCCACAAAAAAAAAAACATACATGCAAATTTGTTCTGTGATACCAATATGGGCCATCCATATGGCCACTCTGCCGCTTTAAACAACAAATCCCAAAGCAGCCGCGCCAATGCCCACTTTTGCCACTGTGCCACGTCCCCGCCTGGTCCAACTCGATGATCACTCTGCCCAAGTACCGATTCTCCGGCAGCTTTGCGCCGCCATCTTGCATCTCCTCACAGATAGGGCGTTCACCGAAAAAGGAGGTGTCCTACTTTTCCTTGGTGTTTATTCCTGTTCGTTGAAGCACGCATTGCTTTTGCTGGCAGACAAACAAACAAACAAACAAACAAACAAACAAACAAACAAACAAACAAACCAACAAACCAACAAACAACACAAACACGTGGCAGCTGAAAACTCCCTTGGCCACTTGGCCCCAGGAAAAAGGAAGAGTCAGGACTTGACCTGATAAGGCAGACGAGTTCATGCATGGGTGTTTCTCTTTTTGAAGGAACCTTCCTGGGATTGGTTCAAAGGAAAACCAAAGGAAACCACCGAACATTTGGTGGTCCCCCTTTGAGAATCCACATCGGGACTGTCCCCCTCCCTTCATCTAACCGGTTTTTATATTGCTCACAAAATATTGACCCAACTCGGGTTGCCAATGTGCTCTTACAGAACCCTGAAGAACGCTGTGTTCCAGAGTGGGAGAAGAAAAAAAAAAAAAGCGACTGCCGACCCTCTGGACAAAAAGTGGGCTCCAGCGTGTAGCATTTCAGCTTCTCAACATCCACCGAGAAGTCCAGAAAGCAGTGGCAAGGCCTGGCGAGCCCGGCTGAGGCTCGGAGCAGACTTGGCCCTGACTGAAAATGCTCCGCGGAAGCCTTCTTGAGATGCGTGGATCCAGGAAATTCTGGGCAAAACGCGCCAAAAAAAAACCGGCAGAGGATGAGTTTTGGGGGCCACGCAAAAAGAAAGGTGTTGATGCCCCCCACGGGTGTTTATGATCATATAACACATATGGAATGCAACTGGCTGACCTCAAGTCTTGAAAGGCAGCCGGTCCACCAAGGGCTGCAAGTCTTCATGGGCTCGGAATCCTCCACATGCTTGGACATGACTCTGTGGTGATGTCCGTCCCTCCTTCCTTTTCGTGTGCCAGGGCCACCTGGAGTCCATGGTGCAGCCAAGAACAAACCAACAAAAAAACGAGACCCTGAATGGAGGAGGTTGCAAAAACGAACCCAGGTGTCCATCATACCCCCCCCCCCCCAACCGCCTTGGCGCCCAACCCCTTGAACCCCTTGAACCGCTTTTGCTTCGCCTGCTGCGGGACTGCAGCTGCGCCACCCCGGCATCCAGCTCGGACAAGGCCTGCGAGGCCGGGGGCGCCTGACCCGACCGTGGGGCAAGAAAATGAGAGCTGACAATACCTCAAAAGCAAAGAAAGAGGCCAACCAGCAATTCTTTGCAAACCGTAAACCGGAAAAAACAAGCCCAGGTGACGTTCAATCCCCCAGGAGTCTCCTCTAGGTTGCATGTTCTGAGCGCAACACACGCAAACAAAAAGCAAAAAGCAAGCGCCTGGCCGCGTGGTTCCTTGAGGGGTGAGCATTTCAGCTTGGTCTTTTGAGAAGCTCGGGAGAAAAAAAAAAAGGTGAAGGGTCGCACACGCCACATGTCCGTTGCTCACTCTCGCGAACCAACGGCCTTCTGCGGCAGGCCCTTGTACTTCTGCGCCGCCTGGCCCCGAACGGAGTACGGACGGCCCCAGGTCTTCGCTACAGCCCGAGCAGCGCAAAGGTCGATATACGGGACACAGCCATCGAGTTGCTTAGATGACCTGTTTCCTTGAGGCTCTGTAGGATGCCTTTGAAAGGAAACCAAGGTGGAAAGCCACCTTTTGGGTGGGGAGTTCCCCCATGACACAGACCCACCTGAGAATGATATCTGCGTACACACAGTGTGCATCAGTGTATGTGATGGGCTACGGAGAGGTCACATCTAAGCAAAGAGCGCCGCAAATCCACCTCGCTTGTAGTTCTGCCTATCTGCGCTTGGTTAAAACTATGGCAATTCAGACTCGTTGTCGATCGCAAGATGCTTGCCCCTCATGGAGTTCTGTAGTTGTCCTTGTCTTGTCGGTCTGGTGCAGGCCTCTGGAGGCATCAGTGCTTTGCGGTGGGGGGTTCTTGTGCATCTGGCTGCTAGGCTGTCCTCAGATCCCTGCTAAAAGTGTTTAACTTTAGTGGGCAAATGGAAAACCCCACGAAACACTAAAAGGCTAAAAAGCTAAGGGGATGGCTGGAAGTTGGTGGGGGCGGCAGGAACATGTGGTGTCTGTCGATTCTGCTCTTGCTCACTGGGTTTAGCTGTTGATTTGGCTCGACGCTTGGAAATAGACAAACAGTCGATGCCTGTGCCTGCACATTCGGATGAGAGTCGCAGTGTTCTCCGAACAGGCCACTTTTTCGGGTTCTTCGACATGCGGAAAAGCGAGGGTTGTGCGACGTGCAGCTTTTAGGGTACCCCAGCAATGCTGATGGGCGTCAAAGGCCAAAATTTGACATGCTTGCAGGCCACACCAGAATATCCCGAGAGAACAACAACACTGGGGTTGTCATCGTTGCGAGCACGAATCATGCGTGCCTCTTGTATTCCCTGCATCATCCGGTTGAGTGATCATTCATCTGCCGCCCGCTCGTAGCGGTCCAAACGAGCCCACCTTTTGCCATGCTTGATTTGCCGGTCGCTGCGCAGGTCGCAAGCTTTGGACCAGCCGCTTGGAACCCTCGGGCCATTCGACCCGCGTCCAAAGAATCGCCCCCGTGCCTCCACACATACCAAAAAAACGGCCAACCATTTCGGGCAGTCGCCGGAACGCAACCAAGTCAAGAGCCAACTCCTTGGGCACAAGGCCTAAGCTTCCCCTTACTTAGTGCGTTGCATTGGTTTAGAAGTTGGCCACCTGGTTGAGCTTCAATAACCCTCACACCTCAGAGCACTCGTCGGCCCGGCGTTTTTTGGAGCCTTCGGAACCCAGCGCCTGCGCGCACCAGGCGCGCGTCCGAGGTCTCGCCTGCCCCAGGCATCGTCCTTGCGCCAGGCCCCGCCCCCCACCTCCAAGGTGAACGGCGACACCACGGGCCGGCCGCTGCCGACCGGCGCGGAAGCCGCGGGCGCGGAAGCCGCAGGCTGTGGCGCTGGGTGTAACCTCACCGGTTCCAAATGCCGGAGAACAACCGCTGGCTCAACACCCTGGCCCACTGAGAAACTGGCATGGAAGCATCCCAAACAGGATGCAAGGACCGCGCAGCCCTCCCAAACCCCTCAAACGGACATGTGCTTTTTCAGGGCACCCTTTGCCGAACCCTTACATGGACACCAGATGAAAAACCACCGCTTTGGGTGTCCAAATTCTTATTTTGACCACCCAAGTGACAAGTCAATGCCGCAATCGCTGCGCCGCCACTCGTCGACCTTCACGTGCAAGTCAGGGGCCTGCATGCACTTGGACCGCACGAAACGCCAGTAGTGCTGGTAGAGGCCCTCCAGGAGATGAGCCAAAGAGCCCACACAGCTGAGGTAGTTCCTGGAAACCAACTGCCGCACCGCCAAGCTGCAAATCGAGCAAGACGCTAGCAAACACATCTCATACCATTGTTTGAGTGCTGCTGTCACCAACCGCAGGATCACAGGGGTGGATCCCATGTTAGGGATCCGGCTGCAACCTTCCTACCATCTTGGGACGCTCTGTTTGAAGCCCCCCTTCGTAGATATCTGCTTGAGAAATTGGAGCCAAACTAACAGCAAGATCTGCAAATTGTTGCCTGTGGCAGCAAAACGCTGTGCTGCAATTTGCCCAGCAAAGTGACTCAGAACACCAGCCGGAATGGAATGGCCTTCCTAAAAAGACAAAGCTGACTCATTCGGCGAGGATTCCCGAACTCCCGGCAGCTCACGTGGATCTGCAGCGGCATATCCGCCTCCTGTTGCAGGGTTTCTAAGTGCCAACTGCCGCGCCCACGCAGGCGTATCTTGGCGTCGAAGCTGTTTGCGATGGCGCTCATGTTGCAGCCGCCTTTGCCCAGCAGCCTCTTCACCAAACAAAACTCCTCGTCATCCTCAGGATGACACGGAAGCGCAAGAAATACATCCAAAAACAAAACCGAATTCACAAGCGGCTCCTCCAACATTGGTGATTTTCGGTCAGCACGTGTCCGCTTAGCAACAAAGACTTGGGCGTGTCAATTCCTTTGTGCAACCCAAAGGAAACCAACTATTTGGAGGGGTCTTCATTCTGAACACCCTCACCTGAAGAGCACCCCTTAAATCAAAGACTCCAAGCCATGTTCGTCATCTATTGAGGGTTCATGACCGTCCCCAACCCCAGGTGGCTGCTTGCTTGCTGACAAAAGCGCCCTCCTCCTCCCCACGTTCATTCCTGTCCCCCTTAAACATCCAAAATGGCTATTCACCAGACATCGCCTTTCTTGTCGCTGTTGCTTTTTTGAAACCACGCCAAGCCAAGCCAAAAACCGGGTTTGCCCTGCCTCCAGCTGAACGAAGAGGGCGCAAACAAAGTTGGCTCGGCCGTCGTCTCTGCAGGGCTGGTCGCCCTCTGGCAGCACCAAGCGCTGGCCTTTCAGCTGAAGCAATGACCGTGCGGGAAGTTCCACTGGCCTGACAGGGGCTGGTTTTAGGTTTGGTCTTGGATTTGGTTTCGGCTATGGTTTCGGCACTGATTTTGGCTTTGATCTTGGCTCTGGCTTTAGTTTTGGCTTTGGTTTTGGTCTTGGTTTTGGCTTTAGTGGGGTTTTGGTCTTGGATTTGGTTTCGGCTTTGGTGCTGGTATTGGTTTTGGTTTTGGTTTTGGCGTTGGTTTTGGTTTTGGTCTTGGTTTTGGTTTTGGCTGTGGTGGTGGTGCTATTAATGGTGCTGGTGGTGCTGGTCTTTTGCTGCTGCTGCTGCTGCTGCTGCTGCTGCTGCTGCTGCTGCTGCTGGTGGTGGTGGTGGTGGTGGTGGTGGGGATCATCCAGAAGCTGCTTCCTTCTCAAAGGTCGCATGGCCTCGGGTCGGGCAGCTCGAGCCAACTGCGGAAGAAGTTGTCAACGTCCAGCACGGCCTCGAAATCCTCGCAGCGCGCGAGATCCGCCGCGTGCACTCTGCGAGGATAGGGATTGGAGACGGAGGTCTCTCCTGCCAGGCGGGCAGCGTCGACTCCGGGGCTTTCAACGGTCCGCGACCAAAGGTCGGTGGAGGTCGTCGAGCGCGTAGGTGAGCTGTGGCGTGAGGTGTCCTGTGAGTCATGGAGACTCATGGTGCAACTCATATTGCATGAGCCGCGCCGATTCCGATACGTGCTTGAGCCGCGAGAGCTTCCACTATGGACATCCACGCAGAGGTATTCCTAAGTAAGAACCCACGGAACACGCAGTAGGACCGGGGCAATATCTTCCTTGGTCTTGCTGGTCCCGAGTCTCCCCCCCGACGTCTCAGCGCCTCGGTCTGCCAAATCGGCTCCTCGTCACTGTCCTCGATGTTGTTGAATTTCGAATAGTCAACCATGGCCTCAGTGAGCGCCGCACGACTCAACTGGGGAGCAGCTTCGCATTCGGTAGCCCCAGGCGGAGATCGGAGAACGCAAGGCGCTGAAACCGCTGCTTATCAACCATGAAACAAAGTAGTCCTCTTCTCTTCTCTCTTCTGCGCGCACACAACAGAAACCAACGCAACCGACCAATCAACCCAATCCAGTCTAATCCAGCAAATCAAACCAATCCAATCCCTCAGGATCAGTGCCCTTCTTGGAGGGTTTTAGAGGGAAACCCATTTTCAGCCACCCAGCTTGGAGGTCCCATTGGAGAATACCTGAATGGCTCCCCTCATTTGCAATGAAGCTCGTACTCAATGTTCAAACCCTAAACATAGATGGCTGTGGCTCAAAAAACCGGTACCAAAATGGAACCCTGGTAAGTGGAAACATGGACCAAAACCTGGTTTACCCCGCCAAACGGTAAACCACGTACAGGGAAGCCACGGCCGGCCCGCCGATCAAAAAATATCCCAGCCGTGAAGATTGCGACCAGCGGCCCGTATATGGCCGCGGAAGCTGTTTCAAGCCCTCCCGCCTGAGACAGCCAGTTGGAAAACCAGAGCTCTTTCTTCTCTAGAACCAAACCTGACTCAGCTTTCATGTGACATCATGTGACCAGACGTAGTCGGATGGCTCAAATCCCAACCCGCCGCGGCGAAGACGTGCAAAACTCTGATCTCGCTTTATCGACTCAGCACGCGGAGCGTCGGACGACCTCGGATGCCACGCCGGGCGTTCGGTCAAAACAGCCCTTTGCGTTAAGCCATTTCGAGGCGAAACGGGATGAGTGGCTTGCCCGGCAAGCATCCGCAGGTGACTTTTGGAGCGCTAAATTGCGGATGGCCCCCAGGAGCGTGCAGATCTGCCGGGCGAACGGAAAAATAGTTTGGTGACTAGACCTAACCCCGTGTCCTTTTTTTAGAAACATAGATAGCATTGGATGAGAAAAATCAATGCGCTCCACTTTCAAATAACAGCCAACCGACGGATCTATCGCGTTCAGGCAGCCTTCTCCGCCTGAAAAGAGTTTTGCTTGTGCCGCCTCTGAGTGAACAACTTGGAATTCCTCCGAAAATCCAGTCCTGGCGCGACCTTCCAATGCTTGGTTGATGTCTCGTTCGCCCTCTCCTGAGATGTCTGCCCTGTTCAGGAGGTCCCATTTGCCATCAAAGTGCCATGTTGTCTCGGCATCCCACATGAGTCAAAAGAGTAAATGTCGCGCATCTGAAATGTGGGATCCTGGTAAGGTTGACTTCATACTAACAAACCCCTATTTATTCATAGGGGGCGTCCCTGGGTTTAGTGGGGATTCATCACTTTTGGAGGGAAACACCTCCTACTGTGGATGGACGAAATCCTGCACCACCTAAGAAACCCTGGAATGATCGTTCCCTGTAAATACCAAAAAACAATGGTTTCCCATGAGTTCAAAGCGGTGCAGGATTTCGTCCATCCAGTGTATTAATACACAGGGGTTGATTGACATGGGGTTCTGCCCCCCCTTCCCCGAGTCTTTGCCACGGCGCTTTGCAGTCTTTGCCACGGCGCGCGCTCCTGGGAGTAAGTCCAAGTGAGGGAATCCGCCGACCCGGCCACGCCAACGACCAGCGTTGGGGGGTCAATTCTCTGCATCCCGGCTTTCAACGACTGACTGCGCCTCTCACTAGGTGCTTCCACCCCTCCGAAATGGAGCAACTGCACGCCATGCAGCAAACGCCGGGAGCAGAAGAGCAGAATAGAGGGTCGGCGAGCGCGTTCTGGTTGTGCCAGCAGCTTCCGTTCCACTGGGAAATCCACTGTGAGGAAATGTCACCGAAGTCCTGGTGTATATCATACATATATATACATATATTTGTGTATATATATATATATACATGTATATGTATATATGCATGTCTGCATGTCTGTATGTCTGTATGTCTGTATGTCTGTACGTCGGTATGTCTGTATGTCTGTATGTCTGTATGTCTGCATGTCTGCATGTCTGCTTGTCTGCATGTCTGTATGTCTGTATGTCTGTATATCTGCAAGTCTGTATGTCCATACGTCTGTATGTCTGTATGTCTTTATGTCTGTATGTCTGCATGTCTGCATGTCTGCTTGTCTGCATGTCTGTATGTCTGTGTGTCTGTATATCTGCAAGTCTGTATGTCCATACGTCTGTATGTCTGTATGTCTGTATGTCAGTACGTCAGTATGTGTGTATGTGCGTGCGCGTGCGCGTGTGCGTGTGCGTGTGCGTGTGCGTGTGTGTGTGTGATGTATGTGTGTATGCCTGTATGTAAGTAAGTAAGTATGCAAGTAAGTATGTACGTATGTACGTACGTATGTATGTATGCATGTATGTGTGTATGTACGTGCGTAGGTAGGCAAGTAGGTAGGTAGGTAGGTAGGTAGGTAGGTGGAATGTAAAGTAAGTGCAATGTTATGTAACATAATGCAATGCAATGAAATGTAATGCAATGTAATATATGTGTGTATTTCATGCATGCATTCAGGTATTCAGGTATGTATGTATGTATGTATGTAAGCATGTATGCAAGTATGTATGTATGTGTTTGCATGTGCCTGTATGTGCCTGTGTGTGCCTGTATGTATGTATATGTATGTATATGTATGTATGTGTATGTATATGTATGCATGTATGCATGTATGCATGTATGCATGTATGCATGTATGCATGTATGCGTGTATGCATGTATGCATGTATGCATGTATGAATGTATGCAAGAAATGCATGTAGGCATGTATGCATGTATGCATGCATGCATGTATGCATGTATGCATGTATGCATGTTGTGCATGTATGAATATGCATGTATGCATGTATGCATGTATGCATGTATGCATGTATGCATGAATGCATGTATGCATGTATGAATGTAGGGATGTATGCATGTATGCATGTATGAATGTATGCATGTATGCATGTTATGCATGTATGCATGTATGCATGTATGCATGTATGCATGAATGCATGTGTGCATGTATGAATGTATGCATGTATGCATGTATGCATGTACGCATGTATGCATGTATGCATGTACGCATGAATGCATGTATGCATGTATGCATGTATGAATGTAGGCATGTATGCATGCATGCATGTATGCATGTATGCATGTATGCATGTTATGCATGTATGCATGTATGCATGAATGCATGTATGCATGAATGCATGTAGGCATGTAGGCATGTATGCATGTATGCATGTATGCATGTATGCATGTATGCATGTATGCATGATATGCATGTATGCATGTATGCATGTATGCATGTATGCATGTATGCATGTATGCATGAATGCATGTATGAATGTATGCATGTATGCATGTATGCATGTAAGCATGTGTGCATGCATGCATGTATGCATGTATGCATGAATGCATGTATGCATGTATGAATGTATGCATGTATGCATGTATGCATGAATGCATGTATGAATGTATGCATGTATGCATGTATGCATGTAAGCATGTGTGCATGCATGCATGTATGCATGTATGCATGAATGCATGTATGCATCATCAGCTCACACACACACACACATCATGGGACACATCCTACTCATGTCAGCTCTCACGACAGCTCACAGTCCGTCCAGCTTTGCTTTCACAGATCCCTCCAATGCTGCGCCGACTGAGCTCCCAGACTTGCCTTCTCTCGCTCCCTCTCCCGCCGAACCTGTCCGTCCCTGCGAAGCTTCGCAGTGACGGACCTTTTAGGCCGTGCGGGACTTCTTCCTTTCGGGCCGCCAGGGTCTGTTCATTCTGGTTCTGCCTCATGCCATAGGTGTCCTTTTAGGGGAAATAGATGGATATCCCTGGCAGATGAGAAAACACCACCAGGTAAGCCAGGAATCGCCCAACCTATCTTTCGAGCCGAACCACCAAGGATGCCTATGCCTCATGCATGTGCAGATCCCGGGCGCCCGTCTTCCAGTCCCATTTGGGATATCGGAAGCTCGCGCGAAAACGGTCTGACGATCCCGTCGCATGGCATCCCTGCAAGGGGGCCCAACTGGTCTGCCAATTTGAGTGCAAAGGTGTGCCCTCATTTCATGTGACGTGCACCGAACAGCAAGACAGCCAAAGGTTGGATGCTTGGATGTTTCTCACACCCCCGCCATGTAGCTCAAGTAAACACACACAGAAGCACACAAAGCTTTGAAAGCCTCACTATGCCCACTTGGCTATGAATTCCAAAAGGGAACCCCCAGCAAAGTGATGGACATGGATCCCCACCTAATGTTCACCAAAGGGTCCCCAATTCAGACCCGCTTTTGACTGCAGACTCGCTGGGCGTTCGCAGATTTGCCACGCCATGGCACAGCGGGCGTCTAGGCGCTGGCCAGTGCGCGAGGCGGATGCCCGGCGAAGCCTCTCTTCGAGAGGTCCGCACGTGGATCACATCCGTTCCGCAGCTCCCCCCCCCGGCACTGGTCCTGCGACACGTGGCTGTGGGTCGACAATGCGGACCCAAAGTGGCGCAAGCCCTGATAAATGGAACCAAAGACTAAAACCTGCGGTCCGATTCCTGGTGGGTTTATTTTGACTCATACCCACGTGGCTTTTCACTGGTTTCTGGGGCTTCGCATTGACCACATCAATCTGGGGGGGGATTCGTGCCAATCCGGGATGGTGCCAGGCCCGCAGAGAGCACGGCTCGACTGCCAGCTGCATCAGGCCCAAGCAAACAGGGAGTCTGGTGTCCTTCTGGAAGAATGGAGCAAAACCCATCTAAGCCAGGCCAGTGCCACCTATTTCTATCCAAACTAACCCAAAAAGGAGACCTATGGTCCAAGCACAATCACCCTGATGGGAAAAGGGGAGCCCCTTGCGAGCACATCCAACACCAAAGCCACGACCCTTGCTTGACCACACATCC